ATGAAGAACGGGACCTTTAAAGGCAGGAACTGGTGGAAGACAGTGAAGAGGTGAGGTACCACATTCAAAAACAGAAACAAAGTCCTAAAAGGAGAAATCCAGGCATTATAAATTTATTTATTTTTAAATCACAATAAAAATTAGACAGGGTAAAATCAGTCAAGTTACCATCCATCTTCACTGTATTGTTTACATTTTATCAGGGACAAGAACTTAGTGAACATCAGGAACTGGTGGACAATGAAGAGGTGAGGTCAACACACAACTGAAAAAAATGACGGGTACAGGTTAATGAACAACAATACATTGAAAGAAGTTACATTACATTTGGTTTATATCAGGAACAGGTCCCAGGTCCATCTGATAGAAAGAAAGACAGGCAGGAACAGACTGATGAGCATGACGAGGTGAGGTCTGCACATATCTGGAGAAAAAAACTATACAATTCAAATAAACAGCAACAATAATCTTAAAACAAGCGACATTAAAAACTGCATTCTGTTTGCCATACATAAACTTCAAACTCTGGCATACTTTTACAGCACATGCAACCACAGACTGAAGCTGAGTGTGTTCAAGAACAGAGCACAGATGAAGTGCAGGAGAGATTCATGAACAAAATCAAACAAATCTATTAAAGAACAAAATCTGTGTCTGTGTGTGTGTGTCTGTGGCACCCTTGCATTGTTGCATCATAAAGAGCCAGCTGGGTTTGTTAAGTAGGCCCAGAGCCGTAGGCCTAATCAGAACACTGGCACCTGACGGGGTCGTAAAGTAATCAGTAGCGGGACCACCTATGAGGACGGGCATGCACACTTGCTATGGATGGGTATGCACTAGTAACACATAAAACAGAAACCTCCTCAATCATCCATCCTTCGAAGGATTAATCCATGGAGTTGATTTCTTGCACATGGAATAAACCTAGACAGAAAAAGTATTTAGTCTAGTAGTAGGTTTATTCTATGTACATGTTAACAAGTCTATATGGATTAACCCTTTGAAAGATGTGAAATGAGTAGGATAGACACTTACAAAACCTCTACATAAACCTACTAGTCTACACCACTAACTACACTTCAAGAATTATTTACACAAATAACTATTTACACAGCACACACTGTCCACACAGAAAATAGCCATTACCTTCATTGGAACAAGGCATACACAACTCTTTGGCACACTTAAGGCTGAATGGGCAGTATTTCTTAGCAGACAGTTGTCCAGCTTGTCCACTTACTCACTCACTTACACAACAAACTATTTACAAAAATGATTCCACTGACTAAACTACTACATTATTTACACAAATAACTATTTACTAAAATGATGCCATTAACTAAACTACTACTCAATTACCCCATTCATTCATATCCAATTAATTAATTACAATTCAGGAGCAGCCAGCTACTCAAAATGAGGGGATCCACCCTGAACATCCTTTGGACTGCCCGCACCAGCCCAGTGCAAGGGATATTGAGCCACCAACCCTTCCCAAATCGGACACTAAGGTTCCAGGACAGCTGGTACAAAGCGTTCCCCTGGCTACACTACAGCCATCAAATAAAGGGGGTTTTGTGTATTCATTGCATGAATACCGTTGCGCAGAAAACCTCCACCTTGGCCAAAAGTGCTGAACCAACCTTCATATCGGCAGGCTTCAGAAACTGGAGAAAGGGTAGGGAAGCTTTCAGAAGGCATGAGATGAGCAAGGCACACATTATAGCTGTCAACACATGTACGCATCTACAAAATTATGTAAGAATGCAATTATGCAGCCCATCAGCAAGTGCTCAAGAGGCAGCCAGGTCTGCTCTCTTACAAATTGTAGGTGCTGTGAGGTATCTCTCCAAACAGGGCATGGAAGAGGCCATTCCAACGAGGAGGGAAACTTCCAGACTTATCTTAGGGATAAGGCAGAGGATGACCCCAACCTGGCAAGCTGTCTGCAGAAGCATCACCCCTACACCAGCCCTGAAATACAGAATGAAATGTTGAGCATTATGGGAAACACCATAATTAGGGGGGGGGTTGCTGAAGAAATTTCTGCTTTACTCCCTCATAATGGATGGAACCCAGGACATCAGTGGAACGGAGCAGATCTCCATCTGCCTCCGCTATGTTGACAAAGACCTGGAGCCAAAGGAGGAGTTTGTGGGGATGTACGAAGCCTCTTCCACAACTGGCGCGCATCTTTGGAAAATTGCCTCCGATGTGCTGAAACGCCTCAACCTCCCACTCTCGGGTCTTCGTGGCCAAACATATGACGGAGCAACAAACATGTCGGGGCACATATCTGGGATGCAAGCTTTGGTCCACAGAGTACAGCCGCTTGCCATTTTTATCCACTGTGGGCCGCATTGTCTCCTCATCCGCACCAGTTGTGAGTGAGGCCCTCACATGGATCCATGACCTGGGCTGTTTGTTTGGCCAGTCTGGGAAATTCAAGACCATCTTCAAACATATATCTGAAAATTGCTCGTTCACCACTATTAAGCCGATGTGTGCCACAAGATGGACTGTGCGCACACCAGCCATCAAGTTGGCTCTCACACAGTATGAGGTGGTCCTGGCTCCACTGGAAGAGATGGCTTCAGATAAAGGGAGTATCTCAGCTCCTCGAGCAAGAGGCCTTCTTGGCCATTTCCACAAAGGCACCACCGTCCTTGGCCTTGTAATGGGGCAGGATATCCTGCTGAAGCTGAAAGGTCTCAATAAAGGCTTGCAAGGGAGAGCAGTATCAATTGGCGCGATGTTACATGCTGTGGATTGCACCAAGAAAGCCTTTGTGGCGAAGAGGACAAGCGAGTCTTTACTCAAGAGAGGTAGAACTCACTTCATCTTTTGATCTGGAGCCAATAAAGCTGCCACATATAAGGAAAGCATCCAACCGATATGGTGGGCCAGCAAACAGTCACATCCCATCTTCTGTGGAGGAGTACTTCCAAGTACAGTTTTCGGACAGGAGAGTCGAGTGAGGCAGTGGAGCTGTAACCGGAGTTGGACGCCGAGCTGCTGCAAGTGCAACGGCTATGCTGAAAGCAAGCTACCAGTTCCGTTCTTGTCAGGAGGTCAGTCAGATCCTGAAGACCACGGTGTCGGAAGTGAGACGGCTGTTTCACCAAATGGAGGCTCTGGTTAGGCTGTTGCTTGTGGTCCCTGTGTCTTCTTGCGAAGCTGAGCGGAGTTTCAGTGCGCTGCGACTTTTGAAGACCTGGCTCCGCTCCACAATGGCACAGTCACGGCTCAACAGCGTATCAGTCGGCCATGTCCACAGGGAGAAACTGCAAAATATTGACAGAAAAGAAATAGCTGTGGCCTTCATTGGAACATCCGAGAGGCGTTCACATCTCTTTGGCAAATTTTAGTGGATTTTTAGTGTTCTACTGAAGATAAAAGCATGGACAAGTTTTTCCAAATACTACTAAGACATAAGTCCTTTAACCCTTGATATATTCTTAACCCTTGTGCCTCATTTAAAAAAGTTACACATAGCTCCATAGAGGACAAAAATGTCCACGTCAAAATACTGTCATAAAAATTTGAAGCTTGGGAGCACAGACTTAAGTTTGGTATCATTTTAAAGAAGACCCTTGGCAGATTATTGCTGAAGGAAAAAAAAAATTATATAGTTTTAAGTTTAAAATTATTTATGAACATTATTTTATATAAAATATATATTTTATAAAACAAGTTGAACTCAAAAACGGCTAGAAAATCAAAGCCATTAATATAAATAAGTTGTGTTCCAAATTTGAGGTTGATATCTCAAAAAATGAGCTTTCAGTAAGAGTTTGTTTGGGCGCAGTAAAAGACTTCCCCATTGGATGCCATGCAGCAAAACTCCACTGGTCACACAGTGATTGGATTTTAGATTTGCAGTTGAGTTTACACATACCAGCCACACTCTGACATCCATACCAACACACCCACACAAATATCGTTGCATAATTGATCCAATTGGCTATATAATATGCCGAAGCAGAAAACAGGAATAAAGCGAGAATTATAGACCAAACCTGAAAAAATGGCACCATCTGATAAAAAATAGTAAATAGTGGCCATGGGATTTTAAAAAAAAGCAGTTTTAATGGGTTTCAATGGGGCCATTTTTGTCCAAAAGGCGCTGAGAGGGAGTATTTTGTGTACCTAGTGCAAAAAAAGATTTTTTTTAAAGGAAATAGCAGTGAAATAGTAAAATTACAATAAAAATACACACCTGTGCCAAATTTTATGCAGTTAGCATTAACACGGGCAAAGTGATAAAAAAAACTAAACTAAACTGAAAAGACCAAAAATGTCCCTAAGGAAGCACAAGGGTTAAGTATTTTAGTAAGTGTTTTACTTTGATTGTTTATATTTTTAAATTATTTGTTTTCATTTGAAATGTTTATGATTTAATTACTTAATATATTTGTATTAAACTCACAAACCCCAGTCTGGGAAACCCTGATGTAATGTAATATGTAATGCACTTCATGTTGTTGATAACAAAGAATGAAGTATATTTTCTTTCTCTTTTAATTTTTTTTTTTTTTATCAATATGGTACAAGATTATCCTATTCAAATCAATGTGATAAACAAGTTAGGTAAAAGGTAATCTAAAAGTAATCACTTAAATGTGTAACGTGAGGCATATTACGTATACTAACTTCATTTTTTTTGTCCTGTAGTTCGGAATGGACTATATTAGCACAGCTTCTACTTTGATGCTAAAGCTCTCTTCTCAAGCAGTTTGAGGTGTGAACACTAGAGGTCAGCAGAGAGTCCGATCTCATAGAAATCCACACCAAACAAAGATTTAGCTCATTAGCAGTACCTCTTTTCCACAGCTATATACTTTACAGTCTTATGTTGAACTTAAATTAAGGGTAAATAAAATTACAAACACATTAGATTCTTAATAAAATTAAGATTTAACACTCAATAGACTGAGCTGAAAGTGACCTGCAATTCTTTATCAAAAACTGTGCATCTTGAAGCTGCTGCTGGCACTTGTTTTAAGAGAGCATGTTTCTGCATCATCATGACCCTGTCAGTCTGCTCCCTGAACTCTGAGCCTGTCCATTGAAAAGACACATTGTTTCTTAAGGCTGTTCTCTGAGTCTGTGTAGGAGAGACTGAGAGCAGCATTACACTGAAGCACAGCACTGCTGCCTACAGACATGGGTAAGCTCAGCATTTCTACTCTTTAAAAGGGACGTTTCGAACAATTTTGTATATGAATTGAATGAAAAATGTTATCTGTTGTTTGATAAACTAGTACACAGTGATTCACTTGCATATCTCATATTTGAGAGTGTCTGAATGTCACTGCAATAGATACTAAATTCCTGCACAGGAGAGTTTCTCAGAACTAACTTTTCATTCATTCATAATTTTAGCATGTGTTTTAGTGGATGTATGAAGTCAGTTCCTCACACACACACAGGTGTAGATCATAACTTTAACAATCATTCTCTAACACCAATGCTTTTTGAACAGTATAGCTATGTCTTATCATTTCAAAACAGATGTGGAATGTTTTGCTTGTGCTTGTGCTGTATTTCTTGAAAATGAAATGGCATTTTGTTTGATATTTGGATATATTATTAAATAGTGCAGTGTATGAATAGCTTTCTTTGTGTCTGTAGTAATTCAAATGATATAGTTTTTCATTAAGTTTAACCAACTTTTCATACACTGCTGTTCGAAAAGTGTGGAATCTTTAAGATTTAAAATTAGCTCACCAAGGCTGCATTATTTGATCAAAAATAGTAATATTGTGAAATACTTTTACCGTTTAACATAAAATATAATTTATTTCGGTGATCAAACAGAATTTTCAGCATCATTACTTCAGTCTTCACTCTTCAGTCTCACATGATCCTTCAGAAATCACTCTAAGATCATTTCTGATTATCAATGTTGACAATAGTTGTGATGCTTCATATTACAATTACAGAAATGTCTCACTGCTTAATGTTTTATAATATGGTATTGCTGAGACACAACTAGGGTTGGGTATTGTTTTAATTTTAGCGATTCCGATTCTTATGGATTCCTAATTTCGGCTCTGATGAGGTAAAAAAAAAAAACACAAAAAATATCATTCACATTTATTCTAAGTCTTATTGCAAAACATTTCATTGTAGCTGAAAACCATGAAAAACAATCAACAGGCTAAAAAACCCTTGCAAAAGAAACTTTAGTCTTTAGGTTAAAAATACCTTAGCAATAACCTAACCTAACAAATATAAATTTCAAGCATTAAAGACTAAGTAAATACTCAGTAATTTAAAAAAACCCAAATAAACAAATTAGCAAAGCACAAAAAAATACACCTGAACAAAGATATGATGGAAATAAACAGTGTTTTAAGATGTTCAGATATTTAGGTACAGAAACTGTAATCAAATGTTAAAAAAACACCACTTTATGAATAAAATATAGTTACAGAAGTTATTCCGTCAAGAACTGGCTTTTGTTGTTTGATTAACGTTAAAGGGATAGTTCACTTTGGAATTAATTTTTGGTATGTTTGAGCTTACCTCAAGGGCATCCAAGATGTAGGTGTCTTTGTTTCCGCAGTAGTTTCAATTTTGATATTTTTAGGTCAAACCGTTCTTGTCTGTCAGTCATATAATGCAGGTCTATGGTCACCACCTTAAAGAGCATGCACAGAGAAGTCCAAATTAAACATGATTTAATGACTCGTAAATGTAAGTACACATTGATGGCCTAAGACACGAAACGAGGGGTTTGTGTGAAAAAAGTAACAGTATTTATATCGTTTTTACCTCTTGTAACCATATAAATACTGTTACTTTTTTCACACAAACCCCTCGTTTCGTGTCTTAGGCCATCAATGTGTACTTACATTTACGAGTCATTAAATCCTGTTTAATTTGGACTTCTCTGTGCATGCTCTTTGAGGTGGTGACCATAGACCTGCATTATATGACTGACAGACAACAACGGTTTGACCTAAAAATATCAAAATTGAAACTACTGCGGAAACAAAGACACCTACATCTTGGATGCCCTTGAGGTAAGCTAAAACATATCACAAATTAATTTCAAAGTGAACTATCCCTTTAATGTAGAGACGACAGCTGGAATATTAGGCTGCTGTCGCTTTAAGAGCTGCACGGATCCAATATACTGATACACGTGCATTTTCTTTTTCAACTGTTTACAATAACTTAAAGGGACACCAGGCAGAAATCCCGTTTTTTGTCAAACAGTGACCCCTAGAGTCGCTGTGGAGAACTTGTATTTAACGTTAATGTCGTAAATACCACTCACGCAGAGCGTGACGTGTTACATAGTATACAATAGTACATTGTTTAATTTGTCTTTTAATGAGATCTAATATATGTTGTTAGTGGTGAGAATTTTCACGTGATTAAATACATAGATCCGACGAGTATCCCCATGTACTTTAATGGTCCAGTGGCAGAACTTTTGCCAAGTGTGTCAGAGGTTCTGGGTTCTTCTAATCCGTACTATTAGTATAGTTTATAATTTTCCTCATCAAAACCGATTGTTTATTAGTGATTGTATAGCAGGGACAAGTTTATTAGGTTTTGTGATTTCACCGTAACAAATTTACGATTTCACCGTAACAAATTGTGATTTTCACCGTTGCAGGAGCCGAGTTCACTCGGTTCCTGCAACGGATTGAGGCGCGCGTCCGTGTGAAGACTATGCGCGTCACAACAGAACACTGTATCCACGCCACTGATCGCACGGCAACAGTCTGTGAGCGGCAAGCACATTGGTCACTTGATTTCAAAAACAACACATTTCAGATCGCCTCTTATTTAACAAACGAACGAAATGAATGCTCTACTAGAGTTAACTGGAGATGTTTTATTTATTTGTATTGGTACATCTGTGCCGCGAGATGTTTCAATGGGGACATGTCACACCCGCAAATTACGCCTATGCTCGTGTCGTGTCTGACTCCTCGCTCGGTCAGTCTGCCGTTTCCTCTTTCTCTGTTCCTCCGACAATGCTTTCCTAGCTTTCTGCATCTTATATGCCGGCTCAGCCATGACGATAGTGTGACAAACTCCATCCCTCTCTACATTGTTCCTGGATGGGGGTGTGTATGTGTGCAGTGCCGTAAAGGAAAATGTTACATCGCGAGAGCTGATATCACGCGATACTTCCTGACGCTGAGGCTGGCGGCCCGCCGCACCAAAGTTGCAAGTGAGATTTTTTTGCTCACAGGCACCAGGGGGGGGCCAGAAGGCCACCATTCAACCCGAAAGAAGTCATATAACCATTTCAATAACTCTGAAGCTGTTCAGTCAAGCTAAAAAAAACTGCATAGAATCCCTTTAAGACATAACCGATTGTGTTTACGAGAATATTTTGATATATTTTTGTGTGTAATTGCCCGTTTAAGTGCAAAAACACGGAAGAGAACTCAGTTCAGTATAGTGCACAATACTAGCCTGGCAAGCCAGACCTACATCAAGATGTTAGGTCTGGGAACTCACAATTGACATACCTCAGTCCGAGGGGCGGGATAAACGGTTGTCTTTCAATATCCCTCGGCACGCAATAGGACAGCGCTACAACCAACCAGAGCAACGAACGGCTGTGGCTGAGTGAGTCCCATGCGTTTTCCCACCAGCGGAGCTAGTTGATATATTAAACTTTTACCGCCTGTATCCGATCGTCAAAACTCCGAACACATCTTCCTTTTTTAAGAATGACTTAAGTGACGTTCTCTTAACTCCAAGTCCTCCAGAGTCGCGGCCAAAGCCGATTCGAAAGACCGCTGTTCACCAGCAGCATCTTCTTTGTTTTCAAGTAACGTTAGCAGGGAAATCACCTATGGAAATCACGCGGAACCGTCACATCTCTGCCGTCATTGTTAAGCCCGCCCACCAACTCTATACACGATGTGATTGGCCTGACCAGAGTTTGGTTTTTCCAGCTCGAGAAGCCAACGGAGAGTTGCTAGACCACACTTTGCTGCAAAATAGTTTTTGCTGTCGCTAGGGTGCGTCTAGATTTCTAGGCTAGCACAATACAGTATGAGAGGCGGCTTTCTGTGTGTGTGCTTTGAGAAAACAGCGCACGGGTCTTCTTGAGCTTGAATGGTTTAAAATCACATTAATATGCACACAAAGGAAATCTATAAGAGGAATCTAAATTTTAATTTTGCAATAAGAATCTGATTCCTGACCTTAAGTCAAGTCACCTTTATTTATATAGCGCTTTCTAGAGTAGAGATTGTTTTACAGTGAGAACAGGAAAATCATCCAACTTAAGTATTGGATCTTCGATTCCTAACCCTAGTCACACAACGTATTTAATTAAAATTTGACATGATTATAAAACATAAGGATTTAAACAAAACCAGATATTCCTCTGTTTATAATCAAACAGCATGGGTGATTTAACCCTCAGCGCCGTTGTGTCGAATCTCCCCCTCAGTGTTGACTCTGGTTCCTCCCCTAGACTCATGTCAGTCCGTCTGTAGGGCCGGCGGTGGCACCGGCTCTTTGTTTGCTTGCCATTGCTGGCCCTTGTGTGGCATCGAGACAAAGGCTATTGTCAGTGCAGCCACAAAAAGAGACACTCTGGCTCTTGGTCCTCCTTATTTTCTCACACTCCTCATGCCGTGGTACGGAGCAGCTCCGTCGCTCCCCCACACACACACACAAACACACACCAGCACATGATCCGGGTGGAGGAAGAATCACACACTCTTACACCCGTCCGCAGACACACACTCGCACTCCTCGCTGCAGCTGCTGCTTTGTCGCAGTGATTTGGCACATGTGAATGGACATCTATGAGAGTATGAGCTTGTTATATTGTTTTGGGTTTGAATGAGCACTGTTTGCAGTGTATATTATTAGTCTATATTATTTACTACGCCAATGTTGAATTCTTAAGCTTGTTCAAATCAGCAGTAGATGCTTCACTGAGCAGGCATTACTAATCACACTAACAATACATCTAGTCTATATTTCTAGCAAGAAATGTATTTTTGCGTTACTCTTTTGCTATATGCAATACAAGTTGTATTTGTATAGCGCTTTTCACAATAATTGTTTCAAAGCAGCTTTACCGAAATGTGTGTTTCACTGATGCAATGATATTTGGCCCTAATGAATCTAGCATTAAATCAAGAAACCGCATTGGTGGTGAGGTGTTGGAGAACAACCTTGAACAGAACCAGACTGTCTCTAGCAACAAAATAATGTAATTTAACAATAATATATTGCTCTAAGTTAGTACAAGGCATGCGTTTGGTTAAACAATTGAAGTTACTATCTTTCAAAGCATTGCTGAAGCAGTACAAACCGATTGTGATCGTAGTGATTGCAATATTATCACAATATTATGCCAGTCTTGTAAATCCATCAATTGTTGGTGTCATCTGCAGTCATCACGAGTCAGGCTGGATCAAACTGGTGAAGTCTCTATGGACAAAAAAGTATGTGATTTCAGCAGATTTGTCTTTATTTGGATTCAAACTGAGAGCATTTTTTAGTAAGGCTTTTCCAAAGTTTAGGAGCCGAATGCGAAAAAACGACCACCTTTAGTAGACTTTGATATTCTCTGTATCAATATCCCAGAGTTTTGTACCATAAAGACTATAATGGATTGCAATGTGATAGAAGAACAGTTAAATACAAAGTAGCAAGACCGCTTAGGACCTTATAAGCGAGTGATTAGCACTATTTTATCATCGATGCGGGACTTAACAGGTCGCTATTATAGAGTTATGACCTAAAAACTCTAACCCCGGTTTCACAGGCTTAAGCCTAGTCCCAGACTAAAATGCAATGAGCTGCTTTAACTGAAAGCATATCTTAAAATATGTCAGTGTCATTGTTTTGTCTCAAGATGTACACCAGAAATGTTTTTTTTCTTTCTAAGGCACGTCTATAAAAGTTTTGAACTAATCCTGGCTTCATCTAAGCCCTGTTTGTGAAACCGGGCCTATAAACTGCATTTTGAAGCTGTCTAGATGGAAATTATATTGTAAGATACTATGTGTACAGTGAATAATGTCTCTGTTTTATCAGAATTAAATAGAGCACTGTAAACAAATGAATGTCAATTTAATGGTATGGTTAATGGTAATGTAACGACATGTTGACTGGTTAAAAGTAAGTTCCATGTGGAAAACTGATAGATTGAAAGGGACATTTCATGTAGTTTAAGAAAAAAGAGAGTAAAATATTGTTAAAAATTTACAGTGTTAGAAAAAAAAAAAAATCCCAGAATTCCATGTGTGATTCTTATTTGTTTCTTAGTTATCAGTTTTGTAAATTAATGTTTTATGTTCTTAGCTTATGTTGTTAAAGGTGCATTGCGCAAGTCTCTGAGTTTTTGCAGAACTATGCCCCCTCTGGCGACAAGCGAAACTGCAACCAGAGTTGTGCACGCTCATGGACCACAAGCATACGCACGCTTGCACGAGCACAAGCTGTTCATAACCAAAGGAGCATCAGCCGCACAAATCTTTTGTTTAAAGTCATAATGTCTTCAGAGGTAATAAAGTTTAGCCTGGTTAAAACCAGAGCATTCTCAGTTGTAACTGAGTTATGGTCTGGCAAAGCGTCATAGACAAATCATTTCCAGAGGGGCGTCACCAACGGACGTCGCGGATAGACCTAAACCCAATCAGAGCGATGAAGGAGATGACGTATGCAGAGCGGCGGAGAAACATCTCCGAGTGTTGTTCTTTGCCCGGTTTTTAACTAAAAGGAAACGTTCAAATCGCTTAAAACAGACGCGATAGCTGATTCAAACGAGTGATGCTCGGCGGCGGCATCCATCTTTGTAATGTAGGCTACAAAATCTGCTTCAAAATCCCAGCGCTGTCGTCATCGTGTAAAGCCCGCCCCGACGTTTCTGATTGGTGCCTCGATTTCGACGGATTGGAAATGGGCTTGAATGAGCTCTTTGCCAGACTAACTTTCAGAGCAAATCTAAATTTGCCGGAAGTTGTCTGGGTTTTCCCAGGCTAAATAAAGTTATAAATCTGCAAGTCATTTTAAATATATGAAAGGAAAGGCATTTGAGTAAATTACACACTTATGTGTGAGGGGAAAACGGGGGTAGTAGAAAATTTTTTGATTCCATCTATCTCCATGTTGAACTGTTTTATGTGTTTACTGTATCCACTTATGATTGTATTATTATGGAAACATGTTCATGAACAATATAAGTTATTACTTTGTAAAAGCCAACTGAGGATCCCGTTTGAGCCCTAGAGCAGACCGGAGATCTCTCCATTTGTTGAAAGCCTTCCCGATGTTGACTCTCATCTTACTCCGACGCCTGTCTGACTCCAATTTGGCCCTTTCGGTGGCACTAGCAGGGCCGGATTAACCATTAGGGCAACTGGGCACTTGCCCAGGGGCCCACGACATCTAAGGGGGCCTGGGCACCAGGGGCGGAGTGGCAATCGGGAGAGTCGGGAGTTTCCCCGGTGGGCCGGTAGTGTTTCAAGGCCGCGAGGGCCGGTCTGATAAAATGTATTCATTGCAAGTTCGCCATGCGTACTTGTGGCCAAAGCGAGGGGAAGAAAAAAAATATTTTAGATAACGGAGCGTATATTTGCACTAAGTGCCTGTCTTTTTAACAAAAAGACGCCCTTCACGGAATAGCTACAGTGGCGTAGGTCGTAACACGTGAAGTGCTTGGAAGCAGCTTTTGATGCGCTCGACCCGAGTTCAAACCCGCCTTTTGCCGAACTCTCTCTTCTCCCTTTTCCCAACACATATGAGATGTAAAATGTATAACCTAACATAAGGTCTCTAGCGTTATATTTGGCCAACAAACTAAAATCGAAACCATGATATGGCTTTGTGCCTTTATAAAACAGCACAAGACTTTAAGAATAGGCATCCTGTGTGTGCTGGGTGATTTAAAGAAAAGTGCGCTCTTTGCTCACGCGATCAGCATGGTTATCTGGTGTGCACAAGACATTGTGCCCAGGGGCCTCTGAACTCTTAATCCGGCCCTGGGCACTAGACAAAAGTTTTCTTTTCTTTGTCTTGCGTGGAGTTTGCGTTGGGGTTGGAAATGAACTACAAGCCGGTCTCTTATGGCACTTTTCCATTACCAGTACCAGCTCGACTCGACTCGACTCGCCTTGGCTCGCCTCGACTCGGCTCGCTTTTCGCTCCGTTTTCCATTGCAGAAAGTACCGCCACAAATAGTACCCGGTCGTCATAGCGACGCATTTCGTTCCTTGTTGCCCCATCAAGCTCTCGCTGGATCCTCTCTTCGGCAACCAAACAAAGGAATGTCTGCACCTCCTCGTATGACCACGACGTATTCTTCCGAGTTGCCATAATAATAGTAGTAAGTTTAGTAACTATCTCTGGCCAAACTATTTAAAAAATGGCGGGGTTATTCTGGATACTCCATCTGGCGCGTTCAATGATGACGCAGATTCTCTGTGACCAATCAGCGGTCGGCATTGTTTTCACGTCACTTTTTAGTATCGGCTTAGCTCGCCTCAGCTCGCTTAGAACCTCGCCGGAGGTGGTACGAAAAAAAGTACCCGAAAGCAGGTACAGGGACAACTTTTACACAGTGGAAAACCAAACAAAAGCGAGTCGAGTCGAGCCGAGCCGAGGCGAGCTGGTACTGTGTAGTGGAAAAGCGCCAATAGAATCCATCTTCTACTTTTGTCGAAAGTTGACTGAAGTTTTGTCGCTCGAGTTCACAAACCTGCCAGACATAGCCAGGTGAGCGTGAACGCGCATGACGTCACGTCCAGTCTCAAATCCCGTCCCGAATCCCTCTTATTTATTTTACTGTACAGGATTATAGAGGCAATCGCAGTGATCAGAGAAGGGCTCATTCAGCCCATCAGGCACTTGTTTAAGCATGTATGGGTTAGAAAAACGGGTATTTTTAACATGAAATGTTGCGCAATGCACCTTTAAATTAATGTTTATTGAATTGTTTTGCATCATGTGTGTTACCACAATGGTGTTTGTTTTTGTTTTTTTGTGGACTGGACTTTTGAAATTCAGTGAAGGAAATTACTGGTCATCCAATCTTTAATCTCTTTAATACACTCTGTTAACTTGGATAATTTTGACATTTCTTGAAGAAATACACAATATATCAGCATAACAATGGAAACTAATCTTGTGTTTACTAATAATATTTCCAAGGGGAAGCTTGTATAAGCAAACCGCAGAGGGCCTAACACAGAGCCCTGCTGCACTCCATCCCTTACTGGTGTCACATTAGACGGTTCCTCTTTTGAACAGAGAATATGATGTGTGAAGGTCTGAATGTCTGATATAGTAGACATAGGCTGACCTTTGTTATGAATCCCCAGGTTGTTATGAATGCTGTATGCGCTGTCTGGGAGGAGTGCCATACGTCTCTCTCGTGGCCACTCTACTGTGTTTCTCTGGCATTGCTCTGTTCTGCGGCTGTGGACATCAGGCCCTTACAGAGAGCGAAAGACTCATCGAGACTTACTTCGCCCGTGACCATCAGGACTACATCACCCTAGCGTACCTGTGCGTGCCAGAAGTATCTCTAGCAACTATGTGCTGTTCCAATTTCAGTTTTAAATCAATTTTTTCGCTTATAATCAAAAGCTTCGCAATCAAAATCTAAAAAGGGGAGTTTAATTAAAGAATGTTAAGGTGTCAAAAAGTGAATTTGTGCTATAATTAGTAGTCCATGATTTAATGTTTGGAACGATCAGTCATTTTAACATCTTTTTATTGTGAAAATGTCTCTCTCTCTCTCTCTCTCTCTCTCTCTCTCTCTCTCCTGTAGTATTGAGTATTTTCAGTACATTATCTATGTCCTGGCCTCCTTCTTCTTCCTGTACTGTATAGTCCTGCTGGCTGAAGGCTTTTACACCACCAGTGCAGTTCGCCAGTCATTTGGAGAATTTCGTAGTACAGTTTGTGGTCGCTGTCTCAGTACAACGGTGAGTGATTCGCAATGTAGGTTGCAGTTTGCATTGGCTACTCTCCAAAATGCCGCACCCTCATGTTCAAACACATTTGCTTTACTTTCTTCCTGTAAGCAAAATGAGAAATTTTGATGAAGTTTTGAAGAACGCTGCACATTTCCATTCAATTAATCTATATAGCTTCCAAAGGCGGTCCAATTCAAAAAGTTGATATTTACTGAATATGTTCCCCTATCTATATCACTTCTGTATATTCAAAAGTGGTGCAACATTTTTAGTTTCATGTGTCGTTGATATTAAACCTGGTGAAATTCGTCACTTGAACAAGTGCAATTATTTATTATTAATTACTATTGAATTCAAATAAAATGCATCAAACTGATATGTGTATGCATTCCTCCCACAGTTCATCGTGATCACATATGTCCTGGTTGTAGTCTGGTTGCTGGTGTTCTCCCTCTCTGCGATTCCTGTGTATTTCTTCTACAACATGGCAAACACCTGTCAGACTATCAACTTCCTCTCTGAAACTCCCTCCAGCATCAACCAGCTGTGCATTGACGCCAGACAGTACGGTAATGACCCCGCGATGCATTCATCCATCTCTCAACAGCTTGGACATCAGATATCACAGCTCTGTTATAATGATCAAAGTCCTGTTGAGGATGTGCCAGTCTTTTGAAGTGTCCTGATGTTCTCCGGAAAGAAGCATACAGTATGAATACAAACACTTGATTTCACATTTTGCTGCATTCTGAAATGTGTCAGATCACTTAAATCATGTGCATTGCCACATGAAGTGCTATTTTGTGCATTAGCCATGTGTGTGTGCTTCTCAAATGTAAGGCTGCAATTAATTTATTCAAAAATACATAAAAAAAAATGCCTTCATGCTGGCTTGATTACACCTTTTTTATGTTGAACATTTTTTTTATTTACAAATTAAAATGTTTATTTTGCAGTCAAAAATACAACTGTCCTGACATCATAATTAAGATAAAAACCCAATAAAAGAAGGCAGTTCTTGAAAAGGAATTCTTTAGTTTGACAATAAAAAAAAAAAAAAAATCTTTTTAACAAAATGATCTCACTGCTTATTAATATTTTAAAAATACATATTTTAAAAACATAAAACTGGAAATTATATCATAGAGACTGTGTGTCAAGGTCAATAATTTAAGCCTCTAAAAAATATAAAAATATAATAATTCGACCTTTTTATGACAATGTGAGGTTAATTTTAGTTGTATAATGTCATATGGTGACAAGCTGGTTTCTCCCACAGAATAAACAATTTAAAAGATAATTGTGACTTTTTATCTTTCTGACTTTTTTCCTCGCAATTGCAAGTTTAAAAAAGTCCGAGTTGTGAGATAAAAAGTCGCAATTACCCTATTTATTTTTATTCTGTGGCGAAGATCTTCCATAGGTGTGTCTAAAAATCGAATTATATTTAAGAATTAGTAATAAATAACATTTATTTAAAATGATATTTCTTACCTTAATAATGATTACGGTTTGTACACTCACCTGTGTTCAAGATGTAAGGTGGAAAGTAGGATACTTGATTGACATTTTAGAGTCACTAGTAAATTTCTTGTAAAAAGAATAAACGTTCATAACCATATGAAACCAAATACACAGAGGACAGATTTTTAAAAAAGATTTGTCCATTATGGGCATAATTATTTGTCATTGACCCACGTGTGTACAATGTGACTTTGCACTTGAAATGTGTTGTGTTTGAAATGTAAATCTCAATAAAACAAAATTGTGCCTTGATCTCTTTCATGCTGTTACAGTGTTTTGTGTCTCTGTCTCTCTAAGGTTTACTTCCATGGAACGCAGTCCCAGGAAAGGTTTGTGGGATGACCCTGTCGAATGTGTGCAAGACAAGAGAGGTAAGACGTGCCATTCAGTGTCTTCCCGTAATTCCTTAGAAAACTGGCTTCCTCAAAACATTCAGGCTGCGCAGCGAGTGTTCAGGACGTCACGTTTCGTTTCTGACTTGTTTTCCAGTTTTTCTTGACCTATGACCTGTACATCGCTGCCTTCGCTGGAGCGGGGATGACGGTCTTGGCTCTGGTGAGTGTGTGCAGAACTGAACACAATCACAGTGTGTTTTCATGACGCCATTCCCGTAGGTGTCGAGGAATTCTGTCCCTGCATTTATTAAAGGGCTGGCTGTCATTTATTGTTCTCAAATGCCTTGGATGATTGTGAGAACAGCTTATTTTGCGTTTGGAGGGAGCACTGTGAAAATGTCATGACCACACATGTGACTTTCTGATATGTCTGACGTTTGAGTTGCTGCTGAGCTTTCTTATTAAAGTGCAATGTGATTTTCTAAATTTCTCTGAACTCCCACATCCTCATAGCAACAATATGGTAAAAACCATAGATGTGTGTGTATGGAAATATATATATATATAACAGCCGCATTAGCTTTGAGAAAGC